AAAAAAAAAAATTTATATCATAGTGATATGCAAGAGTGATTTATCTTTAGTAGAAAAGCAAAGAAAACAAAACAACGATTACTAATACGTCCAGGAGCATTATTATATTCGATGTTCGATACTCGATATTTTTTTTACCTACCATTTTCATGGTTATCCAGTACACTATGAGAAAAACTTCTACAGCGCACATGCATTTGACATGGATGATTAGTTTTTGTCAATATAACAATCCAAATAAGAACTATCCCTATTATTCTTCATCAAAATAAAATCATAAGTAGTGTTATAGTCGTAATAAAAATATGGATACCAGCAGCAAGAAAAATATTAATCAACGTTATTTATTCGGTATTACTGATGAACCAAAGCAATTATTAGAACCGATATCAGGTTATGTTCATGAACCACTTCTATCATTAGAAGAAGCATGTGAACCACTTCTTAATATTATTCCAAATTTACCAGCACATATTTGGATTGCTAAAGAAAATTCAAAAAATCCTTCTGATGGTCTTACACAAGATGAATCAGCTGCTATTCGTCTATATACAATGGAATGGGATTCTAGTACTAACAAAGAATGTGGAAGTCTTTATGCACATCTTAATCGAACTCTCAAAGAAATCGATCGAACAAAACTTCGTCCATGGTTTCGATATTTAAAATTATTTCTTACAGCATTAGCTAAACTACCAATAGCTCCACCTCAAACAGTTTGGCGTGGTTTACATCTAAATCTTAGTGAAGATCATCCACCAGGCAAAAAAATAACATGGTGGGCCTTTTCATCTTGTACAACATCATTAAGTGTTCTTGAATCTGATTTATATTTGGGAAAAGTTGGAACAAGAACTCTCTTTTCTATTGAAGCAATCAATGGTCGAACTATTCGTTCACATTCTCATTTTACTATTGAAGATGAAATTTTATTATTACCAGGAACATATTTAGAAGTAAAATCTCAATTAAATCCAGCACCTGATTTATATATTATTCATTTACAACAAAAAATACCACCTCATGCTCTACTTGAACCACCGTTTGAAGGTATTGTAAAGTTTGTATTTTGTATTATGTGACAATTTTTTATCTGTTATTTATTGTTGAAAAGGTGCTCAACTTTTTTCATTATCGGAAATTGATCAAGCTATGGTAAGTTTTACTTTTCTACAAAGTTTAAACCTATGCATGGAATAACTTCCGACGTAGTGAGACAATAAGATTTAATCGGTTAGATAATTTTTTATTGATCAATAATTGAATGGATGTGAAAGTAATGTTTCAACGTATTCTTTAGAATAGTAGAAATAATGAAAATTCTTATTACACCGATTTACATCACTGGTTATTATATTGTTGATTCGATATTACCAGGGAATCCACCCGACTGATGATTTCCATTTGAACTCATATCTATTTCAAAGACAGGATTCATAGTGTAGATAAAAACATTGAAACGATTTGTGATATTAGCTCCTCTTTCTAGAATTATGGTTATTTTAATGAATTTTCACTCTATTGTAGGATAATAGGAAAAAAGAGCACAACAAGCAGTTTCGACCAGAAATTGTCTCCAATAATAGCTCTCATGTATCCTATAACATCATGAAAGTTTCAGCTGAGACGCATGTTTTCGTTCTTAGATAACACTTTTGTAAAAAAAAAAACAAAAAAAGTTGCTTTCATCCGAGAGCGTAAAAAAAGTCTCGTGTTGAAGGATAATATATCCTAAGAAAAAGTCATTTGTTTGAGTTGAAACTTTCAGAATATCACCAAGACGATGAGAGCTGTTATTTTAGAGAATCTCAGACCGAAACTGCTTGTTTTCGATTTTTCTTGTGATATCCTGCATCAGGATGAAAGTTCAGTAAAATGAACCTAACTAGAAAAAAGAAGGCCTACTGTCACAAAACCCATTCAGTACTTTTATCCACACGATGAATCCAAAATATGAGTTCAAACAGAGATAATCAGTCAGATGGGTTCCCTCGTTAGTAATGCAAAACGTCCTAATTTATTATGAATTAAAGAATTTCCATTATTTTTATAGCCAAAAAACAACACTTCACAACAAAACAATGATAAATCTCGGTAAATACTTTGTTTCATACGATCAATATTTGTTATTTCTTTTTAAATAGTTCTTGGTATAAGAATAACAAGTTACTTTTTGGTATTGGTGCTATAGTAGCAGCAATAATTATTGCTGTCGTGCTAGGAGCTACATTAGGTACTCAGATCAGAAGGCAAAAAAAAACATCATCGACTACAACTTCTGCTAGTACGTATTTTCTCATAACATCAGTCCTTTACGACGAGGAAAAATATTTTCTTTCTTTATTACTTATAGCTACAGAAATACCTTCGACTCATACTTCTACTAGTCAGTATATTCTAATCATATTAATCTTTTATAAAAAGGGAGCATATTTTCTTTCTTCACTACTTATAGCTACAGCAACATTATCCTTTTATGGTGGATCACCACCTGATCCAATTTCTATTGAGAATGCATTCTATGCATTCGAGAGAAATTTGTTTGATCTGAATTCTCAGCGTAATGGAGAAGGTGTAGGTGGGTCTATAAGTTATATAGAGGGC